TAAAGCCAAAAGTCTTCCTTTATTTTCCACAACTTTAGCACATAGGGACTGCCTTTATGTGAGCCATTATGTGCAATAACTTCAAGTAGGTCCTTAGTAGACTTCGAAAACTCAACCTTTTTTTCTGAGTCAACCATTATCATAGATTATTCGTCTAGAGAAATTTGTCTTCCAGGAGCAGCATCCTATTTGTCAACATAGAAACAAAAAAAAAACCTAAGCATCATGCATAAATTCATCACGTTAATTAGGCCTGACGTAGAAACCATGTTCTAGATTTAATAAAACTCTAGACGAAATGGGAGATAACATTATCAAGCTGCAATGGTGGAACTTGACAAAAAAATCTTAAGAGGGGTAGATTGAATACTGTCTGGGGTTATAGTTTATGCCTCTAGAGACCCATGGTTATAAACCAATTCAGCCAATTAATGCAATCACCTCGTCATCTCCTTTCGCTATTGCGAGCATATATATCTTCTTTTTCTTTTCTTTTTCTTTTTTTTTATACAATGAGCATATATATTTTAATATTGGGAAAAGATCTATTTACAAATTTTTTGTACACATTTTTACAAAGTATACTATCTTCTTCCGATAGAAGATAGTGTATCTAGTATTCTCTCGGAAGAAGATAGTGTAATTTGTAAGAATTTATAAACAAAAAAGTTTGTAAATATAACATGCCCGTAAATATTATGGAAGTAGGTACTTATTTATTAAAAGTAAACAAATTTAAACCAAGGTGACACTTTTTTTTTTTTTGGAAATAATAGGAAATTAAAACAAAAACACAACAAAAAGAAACTAGGCACAAAGCCTAGACCAGTGAACACCTATAGCGTCACCATACAGACTATCAATACAACCTGACGGTGGACAATCAAATTCCTGAATTACCCAAGAGAAACCATAAGAGTAAGAGGCTAGAAAGTCCGCTATCTATGGAAAAAAATTTAGCGCTTCTATCCCCACATGTTCCGTTCATTGAATGAGTGGTACTTGTATAAATTTTTTTTTACCCTCTTCTGTCTCCCGAGTAGTTGTCATATTTTCTTGGTTTGGAGTAGTGTTATTAAATCCGATCTAGGCATTAATCCGATCGGGGTATTGAATCACTGGTGGGTCATTGGTTGAACTGGTTGACCCGAATATATATAAAAAATAAAAATATAATTATTTTTTCTAAAGTTACTTTAAACAACTTTATTTAATGTTCACCGAAATGAGATTGTTTTGAAGCGAAAATCATGGTGTATTTATAATTTTAATTTATTTTATGGTTATAATAGTATTTATAATTCAGTTTTTTTAATTTTCTAACTCCAAAACGATGTGGTTTCTGTGAATATTAGACAAAATTATCTAAAATAACAATAGATATTTTTCCATATAAATATGAACATATAAATTTAATTATATTCTCTATATCTAAAATGAGTTAAACAAGATTCACTAAATAAGGTCAAAACTTACCTGATCACACTTTTATAAGTATTACTATATCATTTCAAATTGTAACTCAAAATTCCCATAACATACCTTTCAATGACATCTAAAAGGTCAAATGTTGTGAGTTAATATTTTTTAAATTCATCTACATTGAAATGATATAGGTCACATTATCTTAATTTATTATTTCGCAAATTACTTAAATATTGAAAGCTGAAATTTAAGGTAATTATAGAAGAGTATATTACTAGCAAATAAAATTACGAAATTTTTTAAAAAGAGTTATACATATTTTTTATGAAAAGATAAAATAACTTTGGTTTTTTTTTTTTTTTTAACAAAAATGCATGACCCGACCCAATCACAAATCATCAATTTTGACTAATTTTGATCGAGTTTGGCCGAATTTTGTCCGAATTTGATCGGTCCGATATATGACTATATGATGCTGAACTCAAACCACTCCGATAATTGATTCACTGGATTCTGAGTCAATCCGATCACCTTTCACAACACTAATTTGAACAAGAGAAAAGTTGTGATCTAAGAGCACCAAAAGTCTTCTCACTATCTAGGGTTATGGACCGATTCAACAACTTACTAATGCACGTCATCTCCGTTTCTTATTGTTATTTATTTATTGGCGCCAATACTAAGAGCCAAGAAGACCAATTCAACAGTCAACCAATGAAGTTTGCTTTTGGTTTTTTGTTTTTTTTCCCTCTATATGTTGATGTTCCATTTTTGTTTATATATAGGATCGCGGGATTAATTTAATAATTGAATTTTAGTCTCAAATGGGAAGTAAAATGAAGACATAAACTTTAGTGCAAGTATATAATTACACTAAGTGTAAGTATAAAAATTAAATCTAAAATAAGAATAAGAATAAGAATAATGATTCAGTTTTTTTAAAAGAAATATATTAAGATATTATTTTATTTCTAAAAGAGTGTATTCTACTTATATATATATATATATATATATATATATATATATATGAACAAATTACTTACTCTTTATTTAGTTAAAAATCACTTTCAACCTTATTTGAAATTTAAAAATACTTCAGATAACATAAATAAAAAATAAATTGATAAGAAATCGACAATAAATAAAAATTATAAACATTATATTTGATGAAAAATTATAATTCAAAGTAATTTATCTAAGAGTGTTGAGAAAATGCCAAAAATATGTTTTTCAGTGGTGAAGCTACATGTCTGATATGAAAAAAATAATACAACAAAAATTATGATTAAAATATTTATTTTAGGAAAAAAGTATTTGTTCTTTTAAACGACGCAACTTATATCATTTCACTCTCACATAGAGGTGAGATCTACACCTTTATATTTTTTGTCCACTCACTTTCTTCCTTTATCTATCTTTTTTTTTTCACTTAAAATGACACAATTTTACATCGTTTGAAATGATGCACACTCTTCCCTTTATTTTATTATATTAAAAAAACTTTATCTCATTACTTCTGCCCCTAAAACATGATCTACAAAATAAAGAATTACAAATTTTTAAACACCAACTGGCACAAAATCACAATCCAATCAACAAATGTTCCCGTTAATCCAAATAGTCAAGGTCAACGCCTACTCAAAACAAAGATAATGTATTTTTTATTTATTTATTTCTGTTTAATTATTTTTTTTAGTGAGGTCGAGTTCGTAAAATTAATTTTTTATTTTTATTTTCTCCCAACTAATTCGGTTGAACTGGGAAAGATCACAAGGGTAACAAAATTTCTCAAAACTTTTAATACAGTTGGTCAACTATGTACCTAAAACTCAAACTTGAGATTATTGCATAGGTTTGGTACTGTTATATTGTGAGCCACTAACTTAATTTTTTTTAGTAGTTTAAGTTTGAAGCCATAAATAATTATTGTTGTTTAGGATTTTTAAACTTATTTATATTCTTCTTGATTTGTAATAAGTTGAGTAAGTATATATAATTATATAAACCACATTAGGTGAACCTGGTAAAATGTGTATCCACTTTTTCTTTTTTCTTTTTTCTCATTTTCTCTCTTTTTGATTTGCATTTGTGTGTGAATGCGTGTTCGGTTCCAACAGAAATTACTGGTAAAGTTGAAATGACCTGTGCTAATTGGTGTAAGTAATTGCTGGTTAAGTTAATCAACTCATGTCCACAACCTAAACGGTAAGGTCAAAAGCTACTCAATAAATAATGGGAAATGTCACCCATCCAAGATATACCATCAATCAAGCAAAAGACCAACTTAAAATAATCAGAACATACAAAAACGTAAACAACACTCCTACATTTAAAAGGACAACTCTAAGCAAGTGATGGTTAGTTTACACCAAGATGTTTGAATATAAGAGAAATAATACTTCCATGGCATAAATTATCTCATATGATACATTAAAAGTAAGAGTTTTATTAATCTCATTTAACAAGATATATTTTATGTTGTAGAGAGAAAATAAGTGGATCCCACAATTACAAGAAAAAAAGAAAAAAATAGGGTACGAAAATCGAAATAAGAGAACATAAAAGAAGATATCTTATATGAAATGAGAGTAATATTTTTCTAAAAATAAATGTGATTCATTTTTTTTCTTCTCTCTTCTTCTTGGTTGATTTTACCAAATTTTTTAATATGTTACATGAGACAAATTGTCTTATGCAATATATGAAAAACATATTCCTCTTAAATATATGAGAAAAACTATTCTCATGTTATATGAAATAATTTTTTTTTTCTACATATCTTTTGATAATTGTGCCTTTTTTTTTTCAGGTGGTGAAGCCCACAAGTTTATCTCTATGGTATGAGATAATTTATTTCCATAACACGAGATTAATAAAACCTTAAATATATTACCATCAATCAAGCAAAAAATAACTTAAAATAATCAAAACATACAAAATCTGAAACGTAAGCAACACTCAATCAGTTAACTGAACAACTCTTTCTTTTTGTTACATCAGTTAAGCGAACAACTCTAATCATATAAACAAGTCAATACTACATTCTGGTTTGGTTCAACATATATGAATATATTACCATTGAATAAAGGGGAAAAACCTGAAGTTTAAAATCAACTATTTTAAAACTATATTTCAAAGTCATTACTGAGAATAAAAAAGAAAAAGAAAAGTCTGATTATTCCAAAAGATGATTCACACATATGATGGAGCAATTATGCCTAGAGCCGGCAAAACGGGCTCGGCTCGGCGGGCCAATCCGCCCAACTCGTCCAACCCGTCAAAGGGGGCGGGGCAGACTCATTTTTTGGCGGGTTGATGGCGGACATAGGCGGGCCGAGGCGGGTCAGTGTAAAATAGGCTCGGGCGGCGAGCCAATCCGCCCAACCCGTCAAACGGAGAGGGGCGGGCTGAGTTTTTCAGTCCACTTTCAAAAGGGGAACAGGACGGACTGATTCATTTTTTGACGGGTTGATGGCGGGGCGGGCCGCGTACTTTTCTACCTCTAATTATGCCTATATAAACAATACCATAACTGAAGAAAGCACGGAAAAGAGTGTATAAGAAAACAGAAAACAAAGTAAAACTAGTAAAACGAAAAATGAGTTCCAATTCCAAACTGAATCCTCTTTCCACAGAGGTAGCAAAGGATGAAGCATACCGCTATGCTTTATTACTTAGTACTATTCGAGTCTTCCCTGCATTTCTAAATGCTGCTGTTGATCTCAATTTGTTTGAGATTATAGCTAAGTCTAGTTCATATGGTTCAAACATGTCTGCATCTGAGATTGCTTCTCATATGCCAAACCAACACCCAGAACTAGCCAATAGGCTTGAGCGCATGTTGCCTTTGTTGGCTAGTTACTCTCTTCTAACTTGTTCAATTCGCACCAATGAAGATGGTAAGAATGAAAGAGTTTATTCTCTCTCACATGTTGGTGAATACTTTGCATATGATAAAGTTGGAGGTTCTACAGCTCCACTCTCAACTTTATTGCATAGAGGATTTGATGCCATGTGGTAATTAATAAATCATTTATTTCCCAAACTTTTATGTTTCACAAAGGAGAAAAAGGTCATTATATTATGATTTAATGCTTTTGTGTTGTTGTTTCTTAATTAATTACCAGGATGAATGTAAAGGATGCATTTGAAGATGCTGATAGTAATATATATGCAGAGAAAGTCTTTGGAATGCCATTGTATAAACATATAGAGACAGATAAAGAGCTGAGTGATATTTTTATGAAAGCAATGGCTCATGTCACCCCATTAGAAATGAAAATAATCCTTGAAATATATAAGGGATTTGATGGAGTTTCAACTCTGGTTGATGTTGGAGGTGGAATTGGACAAGCCTTAAAAGGGATTATCTCAGATTATCCTTCAATAAAAGGAATTAATTTTGATTTGCCTCATGTGGTTCAAAATGCCCCACCTCATCAAGGTATGTGTCTCTTTTTTCTTTATACAGCTTATGATCAATATTTTGAATGATGAAGTTAGTTTTGTCAAATTTATTAAGGGATTTATTATTCTTATGTTATATAAGAAAGAATTTATCTACTACACACACAAATATAAGAAGAGTCCCACTCTACTTTTTCTTTCTCCCCTCAGAAAGTGAACTCCACCTCCACCTGCACAAATGAGTATATAGGAGATAATAGTTATCTCCTACTACATGACAAAATTATTACCAATTTATTAATTAGAGAACATTCTTATTGTGTATGAAGGGATAGAGCATATTGGAGGAGATATGTTTGAGTGTGTTCCAGAGGGTGATGCTATTATGCTAAAGGTTTGTGAACTACATGAAAATTTAAATTTATTTTTTAAGAATTCAATTTAACATAGTTAAGTTCTAATCACAATTATTTATGTTTGGTCATTTATTTCAGGAAGTATGTCATAATTGGTCAGATGAAAAATGTGTGAAACTTTTAAAAAATTGCTACAAAGCTTTGCCACAACATGGAAAGGTAATTATTCTGGACTGTATAATGCCAGAAACTCCGAATTCTAGCACTGCATCAAAGCATGCTTGCATTGCCGACAGTCTTATGTTTCTAACACATGGTGGAAAGGAAAGAACTGAGAAAGAATTGGAGAACTTATGCAGAAGCTCTGGATTTTCTAGATTTCATGTTGCTTGCAATGATTTCTCAGCTATGTCAGGAGTAATTGAATTTTATAAATAAAAAATTACTCAGCTGTAATTGGGAATCTTGATATGTTAGTGATGGGCCTATGCGCTGAAAGGGAAGGAATAAGTGAATTAGTTAGTTACAGAAATATTAAAGAAGGTTCTAAGTTGATAGGATAAAAGGGACGGGAGTGTGTGTAGCGAGGGAGGCATGTGTTGAGTGAATTTGGAGTGGGACTTGGGAAAGGATCTCTTGCGATTTCTTTGAGGCCCAGGTATGTTGGTCTTGAAGAATGAGTTGAGATCTTAGTTACTGTCATAGTTGTATTTTCTGCGTTGTCATTTTAATATTGGCATTGTCCAGGTGTGAAGTCTGTAGGATGAATATAGAATTTGTTGATACTCTGTCCTTTGTCGTTATTGTTGAGTCTGTAAAAGGAGTTAGTCTCCAATGGATTATTGAGTAATAAAATTGTTTTTATTGTTATTTTGTTGACTTGAAAAAGGGTATTGTGATATATTATAGAATTGTAAATAATTTGTACAAAGGGTTCTCTATTTATAGAGAATAAAAGACCTAATATTTGACCTAATGAGCTTGGCCTAATACAACAAATAAATTAATAAATAAGAAAATAACTATTATTTACAATACTCCCCCTCAAGCTGAGGAATAGATATTTATCATTCCCAGCTTGCTAGTAAGCTCTTGAAATCTGTCTGAAGGAAGTCCCTTTATCAATACATCAGCTAATTGACGTCCAGTGGGAATGTATGGAGCGGTAATCAACCCGCTATCAAGTTTCTCTTTAATGAAATGGCGGTCGACCTCAATATGTTTAGTCCGATCATGTTGAACTGGATTATGAGCTATACAAATAGCGGACTTATTATCATATAGCAACTTCATAGGTCTTTCACATTTTATTTTGAGATCATCAAGTACAATTTTTAGCCACAGTAACTCACAGATACCTTGAGCCATAGCTCGAAATTCAGCCTCTCTGGCAACCACATCTTGTTTCTTACTTCTTCACGTCACCAAGTTACCACAAAGAAACATACAATAACAGTGGTAGAACGACGGTCAGTCACAGATCCAGCATAATCAGCATCAGTGTAGACTTCTAAAGAAAGATCTCCATCACGTTGGAATAACAATCCTTTACCAGGAGTAGCTTTAAGATACTGAAGAATTTTCTCCACTGCCTGCATGTGTTTCTCCTTTGGATCATGCATAAACTGACTGACAACACTAACAGCATAAGCTAAGTCTGGTCTAGTATGAGCCAGATATATCAATTTCCCAACTAGCCGTTGATATTGTCCTTTATCAACTGGAGGACTCTCCTCTTCATAGCCTATCTTGTGATTCTGCTCAATAGGAGTATTAGAGGATTTACACCCGAGCTTTCCTGCTTCTTTGAGAAGATCAAGAACATATTTTCTCTGGCTGATAAAAATTTCTTTTTTTGAATGAGCTACTTCTATCCCTAGGAAATATCTCAGTTTCCCAAGGTCTTTAATTTCAAACTCAGATGCTAGTCTTGTTTGCAGAATGTGTCTCTCCACAAAATCATCACCTGTGATAATAATATCATCAACATATACAAGGAGCACAGTGAGCTTCCCATCTTGAGAGTGCTTAAAGAAAAGAGTGTGATCTCCTTGAATTTGTTTGTATCCTAAAGTCATCATAACCTTAGTAAATCTTCCAATCCTAAAGCTTCAATCCATACAAGTAGGGGTGTAAATGGGCCAGGCTGGCCCAGCCCGGCCTTTCAGAAAAGTAGAGTAGGCTTAGGCTTATAAAAAAACTTTTTTAACAAATAGGCCATACGCCAATTTTGTCAAGCCCAGCCTACAGCCTTGTAGGCTGGCCTATTTAATTTATTAAAATAAAATAATATTTATTTTATGTGGCAAATACGCAAAGTACCAAATACCAATATCTCTTACTTTTTGTGCTATTTTATTTTATGAAAGGAAAACTTGTCTAATGTCTCCAAATTTTACATGTTGTTGCAGCTTAATACTAAGGAATAATGGGTACCTTGCTGGATTATGATGTTACTGAAGAAGATCTTTCAATAATACTCTTATTTTCCTTGTCTTGATGGTGGTTTAAAGATTTTTAGATAAATGACATTCTCTTGTAAACTTTATTTCAGCTTCCGGTAATTGTATTTTTCTTATTTTCTCCATTTCTTTGACTCTATTCCTCTATGATATACATTCTAGAGCTGGGGTATTATGTTGTCTTTTTCTTGTTTGTCATTTTTTTCTTATGAGAAGTACTAGTGTATGCATGAATGTAACTTTCTTTGCTTTATACAATTATTTTTTTTGCTTTGTATCTACAATGGGAGGCCTACAAGGCCTGTAGGCCATGTCAGACTTTCTTATTTTTAAAAATGGGTCGGGCTTGGCTTACAATATGTTGTTTAATTTGCTGTTGAATTTGTTTGGTTCCATCAATTTTGTGAGTGGGGGCATGCACTAGGAAAGTGTGGTGGAATGTTGGGTTTTATTTGTAAGGTATGATATCTGGAGTCCCACGTTGATTGTATGAGAAATTAATGTGAAATTTATAAGGTCTTGGACACCCTATCCTTTGAGCTAATTTTTGAGTGATGTATTTCAAGGTCCCTTCAAATGATATCAGATTATCCATCATGTGAAGACTTGCACTCAAAAAACGTGGTGGAATATTGAATTTCATTTTCATGGGACAACAATAATGTAGCAAATGATAAAGAGAGATTGTCTTAAGTCTATGAATTGTATTTTCTTTGTGTTTCTCATACTTGTTTACCTTATTTTTGTTTTAGGAGTTTCTCTGTCCTGATAACTCTGTATTTCTGTGTAGTTTTTCTTTTCTTTTGAGCCCTAGGACCCGAAAAGTAAAAGGAGCTAACTGGTAATTGTATTAAATATTTATATATATATATTTGTTAGGAGGAGTTATATTGAAATTTTTTTTTTTTACAAACTTACAAACTATATTATGTATGACTAATCAAACTTCAATCAAGAGTGTATAACTAGTCAGTCTTAATATAGTTTGTAGATTTATAAGAAGAAAAGTTTGTCAATATAACTTTTCTCATATTTATTTCTTTTAGAGTAAATATCTTTTTTGGTCATTGGCAAATTTCACAATGTCCGCTTTAGTCCCTAGCAAATAAAAAGGCCCATCGTGGTCCCTAAGAAATTCAAAATGGACTCATTTTAGTCCCTTTGAGGACTAATATGAGTCTTTTTTGAATTTGTGACGGACCACGATGGGTCCATTTTAAATTTTTTAGAGACCACGATGAGCCTTTTTATTTATTAGGAACTAAAGCGGTCATCGAAAAATTTACTGAGAACCAAAAAAGATATTTACTGTTTATTTTATGTTATGTGATGCGACTAGTACTAGTGTCCAGAACCAATTGATACTTTATACGACTTTAATAATAAATGGACCGTAATAAATCAACTGAGTACGGAAGGATCAGGTTAGAGTTATGTGTAAATACAAGTGGCAGAATAGGTATATTTAATATCCTTAATCTTGTGCGGTAATTTTCAACATGACTGCATACATGATACGAGAAATTTATGTTTGTATTGATTCATTTTCAAATTTGCATCATGTTCAGGTTGATAAAAATTGGCATGAAAATATCCATATTATGTTGCGTGTCAAATTATCAATCCTTAAATATAAAATCGACTCGTGTTAATATTCTTACATATTATTCGTGTAGTGTAGTGTTAATATGATATTCGTGAAAACAACATTTAATATATGAGTTATACATGTCTTATTATGTCGTATCAATGCGCATAATAATTTGAAGTTGGTGAATCATTTATTTGTGTCGTGTCATATCAATCCGTATAATAAGCAACACTTTGATATTGATGTATTATTCATGTCATGTCGTGTCAATATGCAAAATAAGCAAATCGTGTTCATAACAAATTTTGACTTGTTTTCAAATTTATATCGTGTTCATATTAAATATATTCATATTTATGTTAAATTTGTATCATATTATATCATGTCAATCTGAATCATCATCCCCACCTAAACCCTGTGTTAGAATCTTAGATGAGTTGTTGATTGAACAATAGAATTCAAGCATCAAACTTTGGCAATACATTTTACCATTTTAGTTCATGTGTGTTTACTTAGCATTGTTTTAGAAAATTGAGTATAAGACCTATGGGGCAACTTATATTCCCTTTGATTCATAAGATGACCGAGAAACTGAACATAAAGCATCTTGCTTAAAACTTCACAAGTCAATGGATCAGGTGTACTTTGTTGCATGGCGTCTTTTTTCTGAATTAAGGATTCAAGTTCCCCCCACAACTTGTGAGCATTTCTATAGGTTGACACAAGCTCTTGTCAATATACTTGTGGATCATAGCGACTGCCTTCCGATTTAGGAGATTCCACTCTTTATCGCTCTTCCTTTTTGTCTTGTCCGACTTAGAATGAGTTCATATAGATTTTAATTTGCAATAAGGATGATCCTCCATTATGAATTTTCAGTACAACTAGTTCATTGCAGTGCGTTAGAACATATCACCATCATGCACGACACTATCCATCTCTGACCTCACAGAGCTTGTGATCTAAGAGCTCTAATACCATTCTTGTCTTGTGGAGCCCATCACTTAACATCCCGCCCTCTCGGTACCGAATAACCCTATTATCACCAGCCCAACTTGCGGAAGCGTTAATGGACAAACAAGAAACATAGAACAAAATTTAAAATAGAGATAGGGAAGAATTGAAAACATCAAAGTTTTAACATGAAAAATCTTTTAATTTGAAGAGTAAAAATCACGGGACCAACTCCAAAAATCGTCCACAATGAATAATGAGATTACACAAAATTCTCTCCCACTCAGTAACCAGAGGATTTCACCCTCTTAAGGATGGATCTACTCACAAATTCCTCACAAAAGTGTTGCTATCTGTAAAGGGATATGAATCCTACTCTACAAGTTTTTCTTCCTTCTTTAGCAATATGCTGGATTTCTTCCTTAGATGATCTTTGTTTCTAGCTTACGTTTTCTCTTGCACGTTTCTCTCTCTTCGCGTTTGCATCACACTTTTTGCAGCGATGGCTAAGCATCTCTTATAGCAAGAGATTAAGGCACCCATCAATTGGGTCAGGTCCATCATGGGCCACAGACCCAACATCGAAGATATGATGAAAGGATTTAAAGTTTATCATGTTGTAGGAGATAAAATTATTTCTTACACACATATAAAAGTGATATATGTGAGGTCTAATTTTTCTCTTTCTTTCTTCTTCTCATATGGCCGAATATTAACCGCACATATTTTTATCTGTATAGGAATTAATTATATCTCTTATAAACTTTAAACCTAAGGTGAAACTAATCTCCAGGCTTA